AAAAAAATATCGTGCGCACATTCACCTTATATGCATCAGCTCAATAGCACGTTTATCTTTTGTTCGTTGCAAATGCGTGTATATCAAGAATATTTTTGAACCTATCTATATTAATATCATCCTTTAGAAAAAAAGTTATCAGCCATAATTTTCAGTTAATTAATTTTTTGTAGAAATAAATATTATGGAAGAAGAATATCTCAAAATTCTATAAATAAAATAAAATAAAAACTTCACTTTTTATTTCGTCTTTTTTATGAATGATAAAAAGCGATTATAACTACATGTAAATTAAAAATAAGAGACGAGAAATAATAATATTACGATTCAATATTGTATTATTATCAGTAAAATATCGATAATTCACTGCAAAACTTGAATAATCTATAGAGTTACACAGACAAGACTTATAATCGATAAACATGCAGAGATCAATGAAACTCTGCGGCGAGTCAAAACAACCTGCACGATGAAAACTGAAATCGAAAGTAAACGTCAATCGCGAGTCGTTGTTTCGCTAACAATGCGAAATTTTCTAATAAATATTAATTATGGTGTACAATTATATTATATAAGTGAATTTAAAAAGGTCAAAGCTATGTTATTTTATTTAAATCAAAATGCAAGCAAGTTACGAGTAATGATCTGTTTGCTATAGTATGCATACTCTGAAATCGATGTTCTCTAGGCATTTGCGAATAGTTTGCGCTCGATCGTCTCGTTCATATTAAACAGCTTGCATTACAGTTTGACGAAAGCAAACAGTTTGCCTATAGTATTAGCGAACATATTCGCGAAGCCGCCCGTAGAGAGAGAGAGAGAGAGAGAGAGAGAGTGGACGCAGTTTAAAACCGTAAGAAGTTTCTCGAAGATAAAACTGTCATTGTGCGCTGCAATTTTCTTATCGCACCTATATGATAGTATAATAACTTTATTTATTATTACGCGCAAGCACACTCACGTAGAAACGTCGCCACGGTCGTGTGAATCGATTGAATTTCCTGTTTCTTAATCTTCAATGCGTAGTCTGATTCCGGCCTAACACTTACCTCGTCGCATTTAACATTATTACAGCCTTAACCAAAAATATTAGACTCCATAATAACAATTATTATTTAAAAAGTTTCAGCTCAAAAATTGATTTATGATTTGCTGTAAATTATTCTTTGTTTCAAGAATTCTTTAAACTTATACATAATGTCGATAATCAACAGGTAACAATGCACACTGAAAAACTTGTGTACTAAACTTTAATAAGTAAATATTTATGCGAACTAACTAAGCATTTACTTACAGTAGGTATAAATAAATATTTATTCAATAAGAAAAATGTGAGAGTTAAATCATTAATGGTTCTGGTATCAAATATAAAATATATAAATATATCTTACATTTAGTATAAATATTTAATCAGTATTAATCAAATAAAGATTTACTAAAATTTAGTAAAGTGAAAAATTCAAGGACTCTTTATATAACAATAACATTAAAAAGGGCAAAGTAAGAGTCAAATTACAATTAGAAATCTAAATTTCTTTGACATTTATTCTAATATATATAAAATTTAGTATATTTTTGCAGTGTAGATAAAAGAATTTCAGATAAATGAAAAAATATAGGCGCCTAATATTTTTGGCCAAGACTGTATATTAATTGTAATGACAAGTAGCACTATACAATCGTGATCTTAAAGTATGAATCGAGCAACGGAACGCGTGGACTAGCATGTAATCGTTGTCGGTTTCCCATCACGTTTCTGAAAACGTTCACGAAGAGAGAATTGGCAGAGCACAGCTCCGTCGTAAAACAGCTCTCTCGCTCAATCCTCGTCTCGTACCCCATCTCGTTTTCTTCCTCTCTCATCCGTACGTCGAGACTTCAGGTCGTTTCTCTCCCGGCCAATGACCGTCCACCTTCAGTTTTGTATCCCCCCAGACAGCGCGCGCCTTATACGTCGACAGGTAGATGCAACGTTCGAGATATATACGCGTCCAGGGTGGTCTGACGATAAGGACCGAGAATCGAACAGGAGACTCTCTTCATCGACGTTGTCGCTAGAGCTAACGCTTTCGTATGTGGATCACGCTTAATCTTCGTCCGTCTCTTGGGTCCTAAGCTCCAATTGATTAAATTGGACTGAATGAATCTGATGCACATTTATGATACGTTCTTGGATTTTTTTAACAATTTTAAGTCACCTTTTTGAATTTTTCAACAATTGTATTAATTGGAAATTAAAAAATCATGCAATATTATTTATATTACGGTTAATTAATAAATTACATTATAATAAAATGTGGAAAAATGTATTAATACCGAGAGCTTTAATCCTAATCATATGTATGATATAGATTATTTTACTTTTTCAAGACTTTGTTGTGCATAAACATATTATTTATTATATTAAATATTAAAATGATATGTCAATAAATGTAGGTAAAAAAAATCGATTAAAGTTTATACATAGAGTTTCATATAATTTTACGATAAATACAAAAATAAAACAATTGTAATAATTATTGTATAATTTATAATTGTATAAATTTGCAATATTAATTTCTTATAACCCCTGAAAATATTGCAAAATAAATAAAAATGAATCCAATTTAATCACTCACAGGTAACAGATAAGTATGTTTAGCCTCATCGAATACTTTTAATCGAATAGCGTCAGTATCTCGTCATAATACCCCTTGGAATCATTCACCCTATTTGCATTCTTCAATCTCACGTTAACTTTCCAATTGATCTGTTCTTGTATCGCGATCTTTAGCTTTCTTATTTCTCACATCTTGCTCCGATTATGTATCCTGTGCAACACACCTTCGCGACCAGACGGGAAGGGAGTGTGACAAGAAAGTGAAGGGAACAAAGGGATGAGGATAGAAGTGCCGCAAGTGGAGAAAGGGGGGAAAGGAGTAGATCGGCTCTTTGCAAAAAGCGGCATCCAAAGTGTCGGTCGACCGGTTTCGCGCGTGTATGTACCTGTCACGTATACTCCCTCAAATGCGGCGCTACAGAGAGAGAGAGAGAGAGAGAGAGAGAATGAATGAATCTCTATTAGCTTCTCAGCTATTTCCAATACAACTGTATACAACTCTTATTAATAATCTTTTTAAATCTACATTACTAAATTAATACAATTTTACGAATCTAACAATAAGTAACATTGGTCCTCTTCATTCAGCAGAGAAAATTAATCAATTAGCGCTTAGTGATTCTTTAATATGATTGGTTCCTATACTGTTAGATCCAGCAAAAAACTAAAGGCAAGAACCAATCATATTAAAGAATCACGGAGCGCTAACTGATAGTTTTCTCTGAACGCAGTCATTAAATATTACATATTCTTTTAACACTCGAGAAAGAGAGAGTAAGAGTGGGGGGGGAGGCGAGAGGGGATCGACATATGTGTGTCGATTATACACACACACACACACATGCATACATAGGTCGAATGGAGCAGTGGCGTGCGCACTCACACTGGCGCGCATGCACGCGCGAGCGTAGGCGACGTCGTTACACAGGGTGTCCGAGAATTAGTGGATAGGTATACGTTTCCTTGGAATCGCGAGATAAGCTCCAGAGAATCGGTTTCTCGTTCGCGAAAATATTCAGAACGTCGATTTTACCCGTGGACTTTGTTGTCACACACACGTCGCACAGTTCGAGATAGACTGAACATTTCCCCGGAATAAAACACGGAGTGAAGAATTCAAAACATCGCTTGTCGCGCGTTCAGAATAAACCTTACTCCCGCGAGAATTTTATACTTCAATTTTAAGGTGACAGTATTACAAAAGCATGTGTAAAAATTTAAAAAAAAAAGATGAATTAATTCTCATTAAAAAGAAATTCATTCCAAGTTTCCCGAAGTGAGTGTCCATTGGTTAATTTCGGAGCACCTGATACATGCGCATTTACAAGGTGCATACCGTGCGTACACATACATTCACACGCGGGTTAATAGAACAAGAGGAACTGGTCTGTTTATAACAATACCGCCAACGAGGCCGCGGTCGAATAGCGCGACGTGAACGAAAAACCCTTTCTCTCTCGGGTGAAGCCATCCTCTCGTCATATAGCTCCGCGAGTCCGGCGGAGCGTTTCGCTCGCAAAATGAACGACAGGGAATCTCGTGTCATACATACGCAAACGTATACATACTCACATCTTAAAACACGGCCGTGGACCGCATTCGTGGGCAGGAGGACGTTCCGTGGTTGAATGTAGTATAGACGTCACACGACCGTGGTCGCGCGGCCGCCGCTCCCGGCCGCTATTCCGCGCGTATTATGCGCGAGAAGGTACGTCACTGACGCTGCGATTCGCTTGTCCCCCCGTCGGCGGTGAATATCGTCACTCGGTATACGGGCGCACACAGGTATCAGCCGTTACTACTACAACCACGCACTCCCGAACTCGTTCGCTCGGCCAGGTTCGCGCGACGCGACGCGACGCGATGCAGCACGACGGACGCGCGACGGCGGGTGTTCCGACGGCCACACGTTTTGTAATGCCTCCGTACAACGCTGAGGAAGAGAAGGTCTGTTTTCGTTCGAAGGGAGGACACTCGACAATACGCGGAACCTCGGGGAGAACACACTGTCGTGGGCCCCTCTCTTGTACGCGTAGCGTGCGGATATGCGGTACACGCGCGCTCTCGCCACGCAGAACGCCGAAAATCCCGGAGCAGATATTGACAAATACCCGGACTTGGCGTCGCGCGACACCGTCGGCTAACGGTCTCGCTTGTCACGGCATGCCCAGCGCCATCATGCGGCCACTCCCGCAACTAGCAGTGCCTGGTATCCGCTAATGATAAAATATCACTCTATCGGGTTTCTTTCGACACAGTCTCGACACCGTGATTTTATCGACAATTCGTAGCTATGTAGTTCTGAAATCGAAAACAAACGTACCAGCGCTAGTGTGCTGTGTTAACTAAAACTGGAGCGGCTCTTGTCAAATGTCAAGTTGCTCTCTGACCGTACTTTACTAACCTGTAATCTGAATTTCGCGTCGTGTGCCACTGTGATATTGTGACTGTATGTAATTTTTACTTCTACTCCAATTTATTCCACTGAGACTATATTCTTCCAAATTTTCTATCAATTCTGTTTTTGAGTATAACATCTACCATTTCGATCAACATATTTCTTCGTTAAGAAATATTGTTTTTTAGTTAATTTTAATGATGAATTATTCGAATAATATAAATTAACGTTTTGCAATAAAATATTTGCTTTATAATTTATAAAACATTTAAACAAATTAACAAACAATTTTTATGCTTATTATGGCATAGTGTCTGTATAATTAAATATTATGAAAAGAATAATCAGATTGTAATGTTTTTATTTTATGGTATTTAGTTTATTAGAATTGCAGAAATAAATCTGGCATTATCGTCGTTAATTAGCAAAATATTGTTTATTAATTGTATATATATATATATATATATATGTGTATATAATATTTAAATATATAATATACATATTCCTTATTTTAAAAATAACACAACTCACAAACATGATGTTTTACTGTTAAGAATTAGGTAAACATTACTTTATCTCTATCAGTTATCAAAAGTAAATTAACTTAATAAAAAATTCAAAACATTGGAAAAATAATTAAAAAATTTAAAGAGAACGATTTTTTGAAGGTTGTGAAAATAATAAAAATAACATTATGTTAAGAATATTTTTTGCCGATATTATTTGATTAGTCAATAATTTTTTATCAAATTAAAAAATAATTTTTTCCTTTTCTGAAAAATTTAACTTTTTTAATTGTGTCACTTTTGAAGTAAGAGAAATATATGTTTACATATTATACATAACATATGTATATCAATAAACAATATTTTGATAATTAATAATATATATATATATATATATATACTACACAAGATTTTATTATTTTAATTCTTTAAAATCCTGTATAACCTTATCATGTGAGACACTATAAAATAAGGCATTACAATCTTGTACAATCTTTTTATTAATATTACACGACATTTGTACATATATAAATTAATAACAATAGTACATAATATTCCTGTTATATTTATACACTTTATACATATTTTATACATATTTTTTTTGGAAAGATGGATAATATTTTTGGGAAGGAAGATTCTGGAGATGAAAAAGAGAACGAGCATAAAAATGTTGAAGACCATGGAGATAACAAAACTACTCTTTCACCAAATTTAGAATCCAAGGATATTGAAGCTATGGAGACTGATAAAGTTAAGGTATAAATACCGAAAAATTAACTTGTTTTTTGAATAAATTAATTGTATTATCTGTATTATATAGGCAGAATCGGATACAATAAATTTGCAATTGCAATCAGATACTGAGGAGACTGAAAACACAGAATCTAATTCTACCTGCCCAGTTGTAGACGATCAAATACAGATTGTGAAGCATGAATTTAATATGAAAGTAGAAGAACAAACTGCTGAAGATATATTTAGTAATGACATTATGATACCTCGTGCCAATCTAATCAGTATAAAAGAAAGACGGGAGAGTAAGGAGAAGAGCAAAAAGGAGATAGAAGAAGAGGAGAGAGAGAAGATGCAGTATGTATCTGAATGATTTAATGATTTTAACACAAAAAGAATGATTTGAAAATAATTTTATAAGTCAAAAAGGATAATTCTTTAAAAATTGTGAAACAAAAATAATAAAAAATGTTACTTGATCAAGTTAAGAATATATTTTCTTTGTTGAAAAACTTAACTTTGTGTGTAAATTATGTCATGTTTGAAGTAAAAAGGGACAATATATTATTATTGGGTATTTAAAATATTTTTATGTATTTATATTTAACTTTTCTATGTATAGCAGCTTTTATTATGCACTGTTCTCGTGTAATGCAAGTAATTGAATTTGCTATAATTTATAAGTTTAAATAGACATTATCTTGCGAATATATTTGAAAATATTTTTAGAGTGCTAGTATCTAATTTCACTGAAGATCAACTGGATAGATATGAAATGTACAGACGATCCGCATTTCCAAAAGCAGCTATAAAGCGGGTACTGTATTTTAGTTTTAGTCGTTACATGCAGAAATGAAATTTTATTTTATATAAAAGTACTTTATTAAATGTTTCAGATCATGCAAACCATAACAGGTTGTTCAGTATCTCAAAATGTTGTTATAGCTATGTCGGGAATCGCTAAAGTATTTGTTGGCGAAATTGTTGAAGAAGGTAGGAGTTATTTTTTTGTAAATACTAGAATAGAGAATATTTGAATTTTACTCTTGATTATTACGTTTGTTGTGTAGCTTTAGATGTTATGGAGGAGCAAAATGAAACTGGCCCATTACAACCAAAGCACTTGAGAGAAGCTGTCCGGAGATTGAGGTTACAGGGTCAAGTATCGAATGGTCGAGCACATAAATCTTTCTTTAGATTATAATTAGTCCCACATTTGCAATATATTATAATGTTTCTCTTACTGCAGGATCCTACTGTACTGTTTAGATTAGCGTAACCTAAATAATATAATTCACCTAGAGATTAAGTCGAGCTTTTTAAGTTATTCTAACTACCTTTATAATCCAAAGTATTATCCATCTCAGTTAAAATTAGTTAAAATTTGTTAATACGCGATAAATATACATATTACTAATATTTTATATTTTTCATCTTCAAGTAGATTAAACTTAAACTAGGTATACATCTATATTTTTATATCGTAAGAAAGAATGATTTCAAAAATATATTTTAACATATGTATTTTGTGGCTCTCAAATTTCGAATCAGATTATTTTCTAAAATATATTTAGGATAAAAGTTGTTTGTCTTAAAATTCTGGGCTAAAAAGATCTATAATCATTTTTTTCTGCATTTTTTTTTTCAAGAAATGTAGCAAAAACTTTTTTGAATTTAATTTTACTTTAAATAATTAAGCAACAGGGACGAAAAAGTCAGAAAATCATTCTGATTGATTCTAATCAAAACTATACTATTATCAAGGACTTATTAACTTCCTTTTTATGTCTACAGTGCTTGAATAATATTGGAAAAATTAGAAATTTGACCATTTTGACTCTCTCTCTGTAAAATTACCCCTATGCTCAATTTAATTTTTTTCTGAGAATGATATCCTATTCCAGATAGCTAAGTAAAGTCTGTAAAGATAGATTTTAAAGAGAGTATGTTATTAATTTTGAATGGCCGAAAAATGACAAATTTCACACAAAGTCTGTAATATCTGATAATATATGTGTGTATGTCAGCAAACTACCAGAAATATGCTGACATGCTGACTGGCAAATTATAGTGGCACAGACCGAGCAGGATTTGCAGTTTTGATCTGCTAGGTTTTTGTCCCCAACTTGCTGTCTGATTATGTGAACAGACTTCTATCAACTGCGTATAGAATGCATCTATAATTGATGTCAGTCTGTTGATATTTTTAATCGAATTTGCTACTAGTCTGCCGACATTTTACTTACTAGGATCATATAACATTGTTTAGCATACAGTTTAATTCGAAAGTCGAGAGTCACAAAATGAACTAAATGGAAATATTTTTTTATTGTATATTTATTATAAATTTTAAAAATGTATTGTGAATTATCATTAGCACATAGAGTAGACTAATAGCAACATTTTTTATTACTGAGTGTACACGTATACATTCATTTGTAACATACTATACATAGATTCATATTTTGGAAGTTTCATGAAACATACAATAGTATACATCTTATGCGATAAAAAAGTTTGCTGATAATATTTAGTGTTATATTTTTATACACAATTAAGATAGTTATAAATAATTATGTATAATTTTTTATGGCGCATTATTTTTAAATAGAAGTTAATATAATGTTTTACACTAATTGCTGACATTGAACTTTATTGCCTAATTATTAATATATAGTTTTACGCAAATCTTAATAAAATATAATTATCAAATCTCTAACTATAAATGAATTGTAGGAATATATAATTTTATATATAAAAATATGAATATATTGTTTTTTTTAAATAACGACAAATTTTATATAATTACGAAACATTTGCAATTAAGAGATATTGTAAAATAAAAAGAAAAGAAAAAGAAAATATACAGTATACTATATATATAATAGCAAACTATATCGGAATAAACATAACAAATATTTTATAATACTTGTAATATATGTTATAATCTATATTTTTCTTGTTTTTATTTCATTTCTCACTGGGTATATATATAGCGTTTTCTACTGGAAAAACATCGCCACACCGTACTGGTATATTGACTTACATATTTTCAGTGTTAATAATAAATAATGTAATCCTTTTCAAGTTATAAGGTTATCGCGACAACAAAGAATATGTAATTAAAAAAGTTAAATTATTTATTAACACTGAAAATATGTAAGTCGATTTATCCTGAATTGTACCGGTGCGGTGTGGCAATGCGTTTTTCCAGTGGAAAACGCTATTAGACTACACTTGAACGCTTTCATAGTGCATCAAAAGGAGCATCTTGTGACGATTTCATCATTTCATATTGTGAATTTAGATACAGTTTTTTATCGATATTTATTCATGTTCATAACCGCGCAATGAGAATCGAAAATATGATATGCAAGTATTACTTAAACTAATTTTGACGTACAATATTTACTTCGGATGTGTGATTTACGAAGCATTAAATTTTCCGAAATCTTGCACTGTCAGAGCATTTACTATTGATGTATCGAATTATGAATATAATATTGGCTCGATTACAGTTTCGAATGATAAAATCAAAAGGTACAGTAATTGCCATGCTATTCATAGAACATTTATATTATTATTTGTACATGTACAAATTTGTTACAAAACATTCATTCTAATACACAAATCTGTTGATCTCTTTATTTCTTTATGAATAATTGCGAAGCTGCCAACAACATCATTACATTCCGCGGCAAGAAATACATGCATTCTTTTCATCGTTCTTATAATAAACGTTAAGAAAGATAAACGTTCTAATTTCTATATATGCATACTCGTTTATTTAATAGTTCGACGTATTTCAGCAATGAAAGACGCTATTATTCAGACATTTATTCGCAATTGTGTAACCGTTCCATTCTGCGATTCACAATGGATAAATCCAAGGTTCGCAAAATAAGAAGTAAAAACCTATGCACGTGTTTCAACTTTGAGAATTCTGTATCGTGTTGTTAAATAAATATTTTATATTTATTACATGTATTACATAGCATTGATAGATAAAACAAGACACTGACCTCATTATTGCAGCGTTATTGGAAAAATACAAAGAGAAATTTCTGTCTATACTTTCAAACGAGCGCTGATATAATCTATCGGCGAAAGTTGCTTGGTTACGAGCGAGAATTTTTCGGAATTCACCCTGTGAGATACAGCAGGTCTAACAGGATATTTCACGAAGTTACCCAAACGAGGACGTCCAATTTAACGAAGAAGAAGCGTGATGTCATTGCAAAAGATACCTATTCGAACGATGAACATATAGGTGATAAGATAACGAGGAAAATAATCCTTTATAAAAATTGTTGAACAAAGAAATTTATCTCTATAAAAATTGGACAATCTTCTAAATTAAGAAGATTTTTTTAATATTCGTGTGTATATATATATAATATACAGTAATGTAATGGTTGGACTAGAAATATAATTTATCATACTTAATTTGTTATTGATATTTCTTACTTATTGATTACTTATTGATATTAATATTCTTTCTGATAATAAAATAACAAGAAATATATTGTAAGATATCAACAAAAGTTAAGTACGTGCTATGTCAAACTATATTTCTATTTTAATCAATATATATTACTATGTGTATACGTGAATATTTTAAAATCAATTCTTTGAATTAACTGTTCAATTTTAGAGAGACAATTTTTTCCTGTTTAACATTTTTTTCATTTTCTTTCATTTTTTAAATTTATAATCATCAGAATTTTCCCACTATAAAAGGTAGTTAACAAATTAATTAAATAGTTGTTTATTTTCACATAGCATTTTATTTTCCATTTGTTTCTATTAATATATATTATTCTGAACATGATTTATTAAATAGTACAAATGTTAAAATAATGCGTTTTATAAATATATAAAGTAATGAGGAAGAACTAGATGTCAATTATGTAATAGCGAAATATACGAAGAAATAGAAAGTGTTGTATGTAAGTACAAAATAAATTCTCGGTTTCGTAAGTTTGCACATTTCATAATTTTATAAAATTCGCATAATTGTAACAAATTTTCCTTAGCTATATTGTTTTACGCAGCGTTTAAATAAAATTGAACGTGAAGCGTTGAAGGTATGAAATTCTGTTTTTTCTTTGCCTCTCACTGCAGATTGGACGGCCTGGGATAATTGGAGTATCTGGAGTGCGTGCAGTGTATCTTGCGGGCAAGGACGACAGGTTCGTTGGCGTCATTGTTTGTCCACAGACTGCACTGAAGGTCTCAAGAAGGCGCAGTTGAAAAGCTGCCATCTGAAGGATTGCGGTACCAAAGGCTTCCTCGGTTGGCTCGGGATAAAATCGTAATCTGTTTGCGACTTGCGAAAGCAATTGACCAAGTCTTCTTGACATTATTATGTGGAAAGTACTAAACGGTCTTGAGAACGCACAAATAAAAAAGTCCTTACTTTGTAAACTATTACGGAGAGAGTTTATTACCGGATATTACTCTTTTCCGGAATAAAATTAGCTGGATCTAACAACAAGAAGGATATAAGAATGCAAACGCAATTAAAACGTGGATTATTTTCTTTAATAATATTTTTATATTACACTGTGACGGCAAAAATATGAATTTGGAAAATGGATTTAAAGATTAAATATGTATATTAGTACAATATATTTATGCAATATATATGCACTACGTTTCAAAAATGTATACAATACAATTTGGATAATATTAAATTGTTTTAAAATATCGACTCATACAGAAATGTTTCTTTTTATGGATATTTTATAATAACAGTATATATATATATATATATAATATTGATTGTTATTTGTTCAAAACTTTATATTCAATGCGAATTTATTAGTTAATATAAGTTTCAATCAGCGATGTTTTAACTACGAGAATTATCAAAACGGCTGAATAAAATTTTTCTATAGATTTGCACATAATAGCGATAGGATACTGGAACAGCTAATTAAATTTAAGTCCTTTACTCTGTTACTGCGCATTCAGTAAAAATGCTACATCTGTCTTTATATTACATCATGGTTTTAATGATACAGAACAAACTTCATTGCGACAATTCTGTATGCCATATCTTCACCAACGAAGCAGACAAGGCTGAGTAAGAGAAGAAGAAAATAATTCCGTTTACATTAACGTTACATTCTGTATACATAAATCAATGCGTATAATATGGATAGAAATAGATTGATCTTTGGTTATTTTGCCATATTCTTGCTTTTTATGGGTAAATATGCTGCTGAAGGATTTATATTCTAATACAGTATATCACTCCTCTATGTGAAATAATTTTTCAATTTTAGCCTTCAAAAAAGCCACTTCGGAAATTAACAAAACGTTAAATATTGCACCTAATATCGTTGAAAATGATATTGACACATCAAAAATAAAATCAGACAATAGACTCCAACGTAAAATTTATAATATATTTCGCGATATCGATGATGATCGTGAAGAGGATGATATCCGACCACTGACAAAACGAGGTAAACGCGATTGTATGTAAAATCAATTATTTATTATTAAAAGATATGAATAAAATATTTGTTTAATATAATTTAGAATTATAGGAATTTCAATAAAAAGAACGTGTACGTTGCTAGAGCAATATAGTATATACTATTATTTGTACTCGATATTATTAGAATTTGTTTACTACGAAAAGAAAAAAGTATTACAAAAAAGTTTATTAATTGATATTACTTTTTTATAATTTTCAAGACGAAGAATCTGATAGTGTTAATTAAAATTACATTACATTACAATACGAGACACATAAAAAATTGAATTCATTTGGAGAAACGCTTAACGTCTCATAATTACTCATGAGACAAAACGTCTTGTTTCAATATTAAAAATACAGGACAGTTTAAAATGATTTATAATAATGAAAATATTAGACGCAACGAGTTTTCAAGCACTTGCACGAACATGTTTAAATTGACTTCCCCCATTAGACACGGACAGTAAAAACAGGTCTTTTCTTAACATCTTTCTTTAGATAATCCATAGAATTTTTAGCAAAAAGTTTATTGCAACATCAATATAATTCATTCGATCGACATTTTATCTCAGAATTATATCAATTAGCGCACTTGTGAATATTGCACAACCTATGAAATTATGTAACTCCATTTTATTTTTTGGTATGATTACAGAGTAAGTATATATATATATATATGCACACGTAAACTTTTATTTAAATAAAGCATGAGGTTCAATAAGTAAAAAAAAAGGGTAGGTGCGAATCGTGTGCAATCGCAGGTCGTGCAGACTGGTCGGTGATTGTGGCTTTCTCCGAGACCGGTTCAAGATTTACCTTCCCGCAATACCGATCATTGAAACATACATGAACAACATTTGGGCAGTGCGTGGATGGAAATTTCCACGAGTTGCATGGCTGGAATATCTTTTCTTTCTTGCAACATTCACCACAGTTTGAAATTCTTGCGATATATATGAACAACAAGATTGCAATATTGCGTAACATATATATCATACTGTTTAATTTATTTGTAAAAATTTATGTTGCATTAACTAACTTGATTTTTACTCTTAATCACTCAATTCGATCAAACTGAAGAACAACTAAAACTTATAGTAATAACATAAAATTTAGGTAACGGATAGAAATTTCCATTTACTGTTCTGCTGTTTTCTTTTAATTAACACAATTACATTCAAAATCTAATAAATATTAGAAATTATAGAATATATGTGAATATATAAAAAGTAAACATTATTTAAAATTTGATACGTTTTTAAAACTGTTTAATAAATGTATGCATCTACTATATATTAAACTTTTATTTACTATAGTTTAAAATACTTTTTATATAAAACATTTCGACGATTAACGTTTTTATACTGCATAAAGAGCATTTTAGATAATGCTTTTTAAACGTAAATTGTTTGTTAAGGTCAGGGAATGCTCGCATTACCTAAGCATTCTGCGAAATATCAAGAATTTTTTAGTAATTTTATGTAATTTGTCTCTTTTACTGACTTAATAATTATAACTTGTATTAAAGGATATAGATAATTAATCTTAATTTATAATTTTTTGTTAGAGTCTGACTTAATCTAAGTCATGTATATGTGCGTGTAAAGTATAAATAAAAACTAATACAAGTGAAATGTATATAAGTAACAAAGTTTAAGCAATGGATGGAAATTTCCACAGAATCGTTTACTTGAAATGCTTTTTAATTTTTAACGCGTTCCCTTTTTCTTTCAAAAGGAACCAATATGGGTGAAAGTTATTCAAATATATTCGAGCTATGATTGAAATGTTTTCTTTTTTAATATATTTTTATGGACTGTAAACTTCTACAGTTAACTTATACTTTTTAATTGTATTTCGTAGAATATGATTTGCCTTTATAATTATATCTTATGTAACTATACCGCTATACTCAAAGACTATAGTATTTTGTTATTCTTGATTTTGATTTTCTACCATACATTAATTACAATTTAATTTTTATACAAGTGGCATAACTAGTGCGATATTATTTCAGAAAAAAACAACAGAGAACCAAAAATATGGGACCAATGGGGTAATTGGTCAACATGCAGTGTCACTTGTGGAATAGGAAAGATCATGAGATGGAGACATTGTATAGGCGGACGTTGTTCCTTGGGGGAGAAGAAAGCTCAACTGAAAACTTGCACTTCCGCAGCATGTTAGAATATTTTTCATGCCTAATGTAATTTTAAAAAATTTACATTGCTTCATTAATGATAATTGTTTAATAATTAATACTTAATGAAAGAAATGTGAAGTTAAAAATTAAAAAACGTTCTGAGTAAAAAAAAATGGTTCTATGGAAACTTCTGTCCATTATTCGGACTTCGTCATTTATATATCTTACATGTTTATATTTTATTTTTCATACAATTCGTTTTTATTTCAGAAAATTAGATATAAACATTTTTTGCTTTATTTTTGTATAAGATATAATAAAAATTTTAAACTCAAAATTTTAGGAGATCTACAAGTGAGATAACTGATGTTCTTTATGGTATATTTACATATTAGAAATATCTACAATTAATCATTGTCACATGTGATTGTGTTTCTAATGAAAAATATCTAATAAAATCATACTATCAAACAGCTGCTGATCGGTGTGATAAATGGCAAGAATATAATACATGAAATAAAAATCAATTATAAATTTATTTAATGTCCACATAATAAACTTTACTTTTTTTATATATATATAGATATTAATTACTGATCTACATAAATTTATAAATACTTTACTTAATCTGATAACAGATTTTTTACATACTTAATCTAATAACAGTTTTTTATATACATATTTTTTATTCTCTTTGAAAATAGTCATCAGATTTATAAATTATAGGCGATTTATATACTGACATTGTACTTGACGCAACTGGTTCTTGAGTTTTCTTCTAAAAAATTCAATTCAAATAGTTTAAGAGATTATTATGTACATGATAATCATATACATAATCATACTTACAAAAAATGATAAAGGATTTAATATCCCGAATAATCTATCTGATACACCTAGATCAGTCTCTGCTTTGTCAACAGCAGCTTCCAATGTACTTAAATTCATGTTTGCCATTGCGACAACATGCTCCAGTGCATCTATCCTATTGCGAAGAGTTGCCATACCATCCTTCATTTGCTGTAACTTTGGAAGATGTTGCTGCATGCATTCAGCACTGCTATTCTCCACCTTGTGAAACAGAAATGTTTAATGTTTCAGTATCGATACCAAATCATTTGTATTTTATTTAGATATCTAACCATTGCAACAATCGATTGGAATTCCTCTAGTCGTATCAATGTATCCTCTATGACATCGTGAACGTTTTTCATCTAAAATAAGAACATATTATACTATAATTTCTTAAATAGCAACAAATCAATAATAGATAGGATTCATACAGCATACTCGCCTGATTACTCCAATCTACTTTTGCGTAATTCGCATAGTCTTTAACTAATTCCTCTGCTAACTCCGTCGTTTGGGAAGATGACATCTTTTTCTAATACTATGTAATTAAACAAATAGATACATATGTCTACTATTATAGGTTAGAAAATAAAGTATACGTGTGAAATGTCTTATTGGCACGTTGAAAAATGATTAATGTAGTTCGATCACTTTCACGTATCACTTCAGATGAATAAAACATTCGAATTGATCAAGAATTATAATTTATAAACTCATATTTTCTTCTTGTCGAAACTCGGAGATACAGGTATCAAGTGCCAACGATATTACGCGCTGTGAAGACGCTGAAGACTTGTCAGCTTTATCGCGTGCCGCGACATCTTCAACTTCTTTTATATTTGCGATAAATGTTTTAAAACAATAAATATTATTTTACAGATTATTCTTTAATTAGCCAAAATTTGAGATTTTTGTTAAAATGCAATTAAATTTAATTAAGTCAGAAAACCATGCATAAGTATAGCAAAATTGTTACAAACAATTATATTACAATTACTATTTAATTAACAGAGATAGAAAAAATTTGTTTTCTAAATTTTTAGCGTAATCTAATTTAATATACCTTAAGGTTATAATTATTTTATAAGGATTGTTTTTCTTTTGTAATGCAATCTATATTTCATATTAGGTAATATAATTATATTACCTAATATGAAATAAATTAATTCTTTTCTTTTATTTTTTATTTTGTACTCCATATTACGATTTCAATTTTTATTTATGTACAGATGAGCAAGTGCAGTGTCTTGATAACATCAATCATGATGTAATAAGTACATCGGTCGAAAAAGTAAATGTTAAAGCAAACAAGTACAACACAGTCCAAATTAATGAGATTTATTAATGAGATTTATTGTTTAAGAAATAAGAAACTATTCAAAAGTAATTAAGTAATTCAATTACAATTAAGTACTATCTTTTAAATATCTATATTAACCAATTATAATGTATATCTCCATTAATTATATATAAATTTACTTGTTAAGTTAAATATTGCTTATTGTCACTTTAATTTGCGATATTACGTACTTATACTCCCAGCTTTAAGATTATGTTTCACGACTGACAAATAATCAGCACACAGTAGACTTATATAGCTAGAAATTATATAAAAATTCACAAATGTGGCACAAAGAACGGTCTTGACCGAATATACCATTTATTAAACAAAATGGTGTCAAGGGCGATTAAAGAGTCAAGAATTTTCGTTAAACAATAAAATATATAATTAGTCATTTTCAATCAAATTAAAACATTACTTAATAAATCGCCTACAAACATATATATTTAACTATATATAATAAAATTAAAATAAAAATAAGTATTAAAATATAAAAATATAAAAAACGTTACAGTTTCGGCTCTCGGATTGAGCCCTCTTCAGGCATTAAAATTCGGCGGACAAAATTTATCGTTAAAAAATCGTGCATTTCCATAATGATCTTGTGAGTCTTCATCGAAAAAAACGGACATTAAAGTTACACACGATTGAAAATACCATTTATTACTCACGTGTGTTTAATATTCACGGTCAGTATTAATCATCACAAAGATATCGGTTCCTATACAATTATCACATAAATCAAGCAATACTAGATACGAATTTATTATAACTTAGATACCGGTTTGATTAATTTGATCATGAATTTTTTTGCGAGTATTCTTTTAGTCATAGGTAGTTATGTCGTGTGTTATGTATGTTCGATATGAAATGTGATGCAGATTAATAAAATTTATTCTAACAATAAGACTGGATTAATTATAGTTTTCAGTTTTAACATGTTACCGCAAATGCCGACCATGTATGTAATTTTATATTCCCTCGTTATTACCAGTAGAACTAGTAATCATGACATAAATAGTGTATTAAGGACAGGGAGATGAAAATCTAGATAAATCTTATGACGTATTTATAGTACATATGTACGTAACAAAAAAACATAATATTTTTTTAATCATGTCTTCGTATTAAAATTGATGTAAGCAAGAATAATACTTTCTTTTTTTTTTTTACTAATAAGTAAATTTTTTATCATAATCTTTCCATGTCTTCCATCTATGCATAAATACTAATGTAACGCACAGTCGAATAATTATTGCGTCTAATACTTATGTATACTTTTTTCATATGTTTTGTATGCGTTATAAACCGATATAAACGATGTTGATGATTCAAATTATAAGTACGTAATACAATTTCATTACGTACTCATTGTTTAAATCATTAACATCGTTTATAATATAATTTTCTTCTAACGAATTATTATATCGGACAATTTAATAATTTATTGGTGCTTGTTGTTGTCTCTTGACACATTATTTCTTTGCATCAAAACGGACATTTTAATGTACATGCTGATAATGAATGGACGGTTGTAATGCATTGACCATACTCTTAATTTTAATCATTGTATTTATTTTTAAAATTAATTATTATATTTTAAGAAAATGTGTGATATTGTACTGAAGAGGAGCCAAATCATGGGGGCGAAACGTCTATTATGTGTATGTACTTTTTGAGAAAAATTAGATATTCACATGAAAACAACCTGTGTTGGCTCGTATTAGCATTTTTTTATACATTGTACTTGGATTTATTCTTTTCGAGCCTATTTTTCGTTAATTCTATGATATAAAATAATATAGTATATTATTTACTTTATAATTCAAAAATTAAATAAGTAATATAGTTTTAAAATTAAACGACGTAGCGCGTATGAACAATAAACAATTTTATTTTACAATTATATAATTTATAATCTACTTTGTGTTCTCAAAAAATAAATTAGATTCAGAATAATGTAGAAAATTATCTTTTGACTAGAATAGCATTAAGGATCAAGAGTTAATCTTCTTCTTTACTTCTTCAGCAATGTTTTATAACATTTGATATGCGCAGAAATAATATTCCGCCTACAATTAAGTCTGTTTTATTCATTGTAATTACACTACTTTGTAATAAATTCTTTGACATTAACTTTTTCTATTAATAACTTGGTTATATTTAACTTAATAAATTTTTCAGTAGATGTAATAAATTGAAAATATCAAATAAGAATTAAATATAGTAGATAGACCATGGCATGGACTTTGACAATGTATATTTAAATTTCAATCAATTACATATTTAAAGGAATCTTACATAAATAATATATTAGTATCTTCCGACTTTTTCGTATATATCTCAATCTATGAATTTTTTTGTATCTTTTTCGCTAAAATTTTTCTGCTAGGACAGATAATACTTTATTAGTATAATATTGTTCTGTTATATATATATATATGTATACCATTTGTATGTATTATAAATTTTAATTATTGAGGTAACGTCCCAATATAATATTGATTCAAAGATAGTAATTCAAGAATAATTAAATGTACATATCATCTGATAAAAAAAATGTTGTTTCATTAATTTATATTTTAGAATATGTATGTATAATTACAACAAAAGCATAGAAGTATAATGTCAATTATTCTAATAAAATATTATTTATGTTAACAATAGTATACGCTTACTCAACTTTTAAAATATAGTATGAAATCTCGTTTGAATAATTATAAATGGTAATGTATCTACACTTTGAAAATGTCAGTGTGGATTTAACAACCATGTGCGGTGTCTACATAATTCTCATTATGTTGATGTTAAATTAACATCAGCATGGTGTGTGGACCTATGTTAATTTAACACCAACACAGTGAAAATTATATAGACATAGCATGGTGTTAAATTTACACCGCTATTTCTTAACCATTTTCATTGTCACTTAGTTATTACCTATATTGTATTATTTTGATCTTTATATCTACCTCCCTTTTTATAAAAATTTATTAGATAGATGCAAAAACTAAATTCTAGAATAAGATAGTTATACAGCGTTACAATCGCCAAATGTTAAAAAAAATATGTCCAAGTATATAAAAAAAATTTCCAGGAAAAAATTACTTTGTATCAAATGTTTTATTCAAACGTTTTAATTTTCTCAATCATTTTCTCTTATCTATAATCGAAAAAAAAATGTATTGAGCTAAAAATCCTTTGGTATTTCTCCTTACAATTAGTAAGTATTCTTCATCAGTTCTGATATGTAAATCAATGTTACTTTGCATGTATAATCTATAATAGCTTTTTTTATTCATCATAATTACAAAATTTAGGATATATTAGAAGAGAGAGAGAGAGCCAGTGTGTGTTCATAGTTTAACTGATACTGATTTCGATAAAAAAAGATTAATTTCTTAAAATTGTAAGAAATAGTGTTATAAGAATATAGTCTAACCAATAATTAAGTTATTAATATTAAAAAAATTTTGCATGATTGATTGCTAAAAGCAAGCATTGATTGCTAAAAGAAATAAATGAGTTATACTTAAAAAACTATATTTAGTTTGTTTAGAAGTATGCATTTGATACGCATTGAATAAAGTTTCGCCTTATTTCAACATTTAAAGACTATCTGAAAGAAAATATTTCTACTACGAAATAAGTTATTTATAGAAAAAAATATTATTTATTACATTTAAAATAAGTTGTTAAAATATTAATATTTAACAAAATATCGGTTTGAATTTATTACCATGCGCTGTTTGTATAATTTTCACTGATTGATGTTAATATTGTATTATACATATATGTATTTAAGTCCACCACGATGTGAATTTAAAATCCATCATTGATTTCAAACCCACATCATGATGGTGTTCTGATATAAGATACCAGAGGTGTTGATATTAACATCAACATGGTGAGAATTATATAGACATCGCAGGATGTCCTACAGATATTTTTTAAAGTGAAGAAGTAACACGAATAAAGAGAATGTCTCGACGTCAATCTCGGCACTAGTATGTGCACAACGAGATCAAACTGTGTATTTTTACTCGAACTGGCTATTATTTAACTATGTAACTATGATTATTGATCACGTAATCTATTTACTCAATGGAGACATGGATGTGCACTGACCAAACAGAACATGTATTTACGCAATGGAAATCTGTGAGAATACACATTAACCAAATACTGAGATAGGTATTATGTATTCATTGGTAAAAAAAGACATGTATTTTTAGTCAGAAAATGATATGAAAAAGCTGTTTAATTCTTAATAGAAGTTTTTTTATTATTATATATATATAATTGGCCTTCATTATAATACATTATTATTATATTTTATACGTTAATGTATTGTATTATAAATTAGTCCTAATCTTTCTCTCTCTCTCTTCTCTCTTTCTTTTCCTCTTCTTTACTTTTACATTTTTCTTTAAT